TTTCATTTTTGGTGGCATTGTTAGTCCCTAACTTGAAATTTATGACACTTTCTGTAGAAAACTAAGAGATATATAAAACATTTTTAAAAAGGCAAAGCTGTTTGAGGGAAAACTATCAAATAAAAGTATCAAATTGTATTTATTTTATTGTTTTGCATTTTATTGCATTGCATTTTTTATAATTTTCAGTAGTTATTTTTTTGGAGGAAGAAACTATAAAATAAAAGCACCTCAAATTAATGTATTTATTATGTTTGCGCTGTTTATGGTGCTTTTATTTTACTTTTTGTTCTTTCTATTGTTATTTTGGGGGCTTGAGAGTGAACTGTTGTTTTGTGAGACAGAGATTCATAAAGTGATTTAAAATCTCTCTTTTTGTGTTCAACAGAAAGAAATAACAGCCTATGGGTTAACAGCATGAGGGTGAGTAAATAATGACTTCAGTACCTTAATGATTTACATCTAGATGTGTTTTTAGGAATAAAAAGGCACATTTAAATCATTGAGATATTGAAAGTGTTACTTAATTTTTAATTGCCAGCAAAATGATTGCAAATATATCATGCATATTTGATGCACGGCCCAGCTCTATATCTATGCCGCAGCACCACAGAAGTCACTGTGAGGATTCAGTCGTTTCTACAGAAAGTATAAAATAACTTGTGAGAAGCTTCTGAGCCGAGCCGTGTTTGATTGTGTCGGCTTTGTGTTCAGTGGGATTTTGACATTGTTTAAAAGCTTTGCCACAGAGGATCTTAAGTGATTTGAAAGTTACGAGCGCTTTTACCTTGTTTTCTCTTTGTGATCAGAAGTTTCACTCGCTGAGTTCCCCAAGGCGTTCCTCCTCTCTGTGTGGTTCGTACAGTATCTGAAGCAGCGTTTCACTGCATATTTTGATCATTTCTTGTACCCTGAAGGGTTACGATTTCACAGTCTTGCATGTAATGTGTGCATCTTGCCTTTTCTCTGTCTAGCGGCGGTATATCGATATCAAAGTCTTTTAGCGCCCGGATAATTGCCTTTTTTGCATTTTACAGGAGCTGTTTGTTATTCGACATGCTTTCAGCATCACTGTAATCAATAGTTAAGGAAAATGTCACGGCAAATGGAATTTAGAAAAATGTTTCTCAAGGTCAGTGATTTGATCCGTCAGGCAGAGACTAAATCGATCCGAGTACGATTGAGCTGCCTGGACATGAACAATCACACATGAGATTTCAGTGATATCTCTATTGTTTCTCTTAGACAGCAATGAGATTGAATGGAGACTCAAAAGAGATATACATTTTTCTTTTTTTTTCTTTTTTTAGAAAATGAGCAATGGTTTCTCTAGATAAGACCGGTATTCCTCGGATGGGATCGTGTAGAGCTCTTTGAAGCTGCACTGAAACTGTGATTTGGACCTTCAGCGCATTGGCCACCATTGAAGTCCATTATATGGAGAAAAATTCTGGAATGTTTTCCTCAAAAACCATAATTTATTTTCGACTGAAGACAGAAAGACATGTACATCTTTGATGACGGGGGGGTGAATAAATTTTTATTCTGGAAGTGAACTAATTCTTTAAATACATATAAACCGGGTTTATTTAGCATCAATAAATCCTATTGATTTCAATCTCATATTCATAACTAATTGAATTTTGCTTGTTCCAAAGCTATTTAACCATGTTCATCATTTTTAACTGAATAAATTTAATTGTTTTCACAATGAACAGATTTATGCAATTTGAATAAATGCATTTTGGAAATATGATTATTTAATCAAATCAAACAGATACCAATAGTTAATAATAAATTATGACATTGATTTTTTTTTTTTGAGTGCTGAAATCTGATCTGTTTCATTTTTTATGACTGACAAATATGCAGCACATAAGTTTAGCAGTTTGTTTATGTTGAAACTGTGTAATCCAAATGCACTGAAATTTTATATGCAACTCACATACTTAAATCCTAAATTTAGGCATAAATATTTTTTAGCTTGAAATTTATGAGACAGTCTCTCATGAGACACTTTATGAGACACATACATTTCTTTATATACATATACAATATATATATACTGTATATATATATATTTAAAAATCTAATAAAAAATATGTATAAAAATGTACTAAAACTTTAACTAAAATTTACATATAAAAAATAATATCATATTTTTTATGATAAAATATACAAATAAAATAAAGTAAAATAAAATAAAAATAGTAATTCAAAACTAGTATCTCAGTAGTAAACTGATGCTGTGGGTTGTCTGTGATCTGTGGTTCAGGCCCGGTTAGCACGTGTGAGACCGTGAGGTCAAACTTGTCCTCTAATTATCACAGAGACACCGGTGAGCATCTGCAAGCGCTCGTCTCTTCTCCAGTGCTCAGTTTCCATGGGATACGAGCGTCCGGCTCTGTGCGCTATTGATCCAGCTGTCAGTGCGCTGTAATTAGTTTCCTTTCTTCCATGGAGACGAAGAACACCTTGTGCTTTATAGCTGTGTGATTCTGATAATGGTGTGTCTCTCTCATTTATGGCTGAAGTTTGAAGTCGGTTCACACACAGACTGATCCCCAAATGACACTTTTGCAGGCCTGAAGGGCATTGTGGGAATGAGGAATGCGTTATCCGTAGGGATGCTCGAATGAAAGTGAACAGTGTGATTGCTTGACAAACACCAGGCTGTTGGTGAAGTAGAAGGATGTTAGTTATTTCCAGTATGATCATGACATCACAGGTGGCTGAATTCATGATTCATTCTGAAACCTGAGCTAATCTATGAACTGCTTTACATGGAAATTCAGTTGCTAATTGCACTAATTCCACAATTGCTCTAAATAGTATGAGGGTGAATCTCACAAAACATGCAGAGCATATTTCACTCCAATATCAACAGGGAAAAAACACATTTACAACACATTTCTATTTCAAATTATGTTTTGTTCAATTGCTAAGTGATTCATAAAGTTTAAAAGTAAAAAATTGCTTCGTATTATTGCAGCAATGATAATCTTTGAGAATCACCACTGATAGAAAATAAAAATTACAAAACAAAATATCCAAAGTAAAGCAAAGCTGCTTAATTTTCATGTCAAAATGAATGAATAACTAAATAGAATTAAAAGTAATACAATTTTAAGCAGCAAAAACTATTTTCAACATTGATAATAAGAACCGTTATTATTAACTAAGCGTCAAAATCAGCATATTAAAATGATTTCTGAAAAATCATGTGACACTTGAATTTTACTTTGCAATTTAACTAAGCTAATTATTTTACATTGTAGTAATGAGTGAGGGGCTTTTTTTTTTGCATTCTATAACATTTGAATTGAAGTAATTAATTGTCATAACGTCATAAAAATGTTCCTTTTCTTTAAGCATTTGATATGAGGCTTAAATTCTTTTAAATTCTTTTAAGGCTTGGGAAAACAACTTGTACTTGGAATGTTGTATTTTGTGTGTGTGTGTGTGTGTGTGTGTGTGTGTGCGTGCGTGCGTGCGTGTGCGCGTGTGTGTGTTTCTTCCTTTTCTTTTCTTTTTTTCCTAATTGTGTTTTTTATGGTTAGGCTCCACTCCAGTCCAGACGTTTATCATTGTAAAAATAAGCTTAAAATTATAAATACAATTATGTTTTTTATTGTAGTTATAATATTATATATACAGTATATATCCAAAACCAAAATAATCTTGAAGTGCACCATATTCCTATGAATTCTGTCTCATCACTGAGAGTGTCACATTATTTTCCGCTCACTGTATGGACTTTAGCTGTTATCCTCACTATCTGTTAGAGATTAACACTTATAGTGATTTTTTTTATGGAATAGCTTGCAGAAAATATCTGGCTCACAGATCTCAGTGAAAAGGTGTCGTAAGGAATCACATGTGTCTTTGTGAAAGAACTCAACTCAACAGCAAATAAGAGCTGGAATAATGCTATTATTTAGTCAGACATGTTAACTGACATGTCTAAAGCCTGAAACATATGTAGGTGTTGCTAAATGTTTCTAGCTCTTGCTTTCTTGTGTTGTTGTGTTCTGAAAGCATTTTTTGCATTATGCTGCAATGGTCAGTATGGCGTACATGCGCATAAATGGTCTTCTGTGGTCAATGTTTTTTTTTGTTTTTTTAGGTTTAATAGGTTTTAATTGTCTTAATTGGGTTCCAAAACCACTGTACAATGGAAAATATAAAAATAAAAAATAATTCAAAATATCCATTAAAAAAAACAATAGTATCTCAATGACACTAAAATAACATTATATTTTTTTATCATATTTCATATTTTTATTTTGGCGGCTTAATGTGAGGGAAATTCTACATGTAAACAAAAAAAATTATATTTATTTTTAAAAATATTTTTAAATTATTTAAAATATTTAAATAAAATAATTTTTTTAAATCTGCTCATTAATATATTGATAATTGATTATAACCATTTCCTATTATTTTATACAAAAAATAATAATAATAGTAGACTCACTTTTAATTAAGGGTTTCATCTTCAGAAAACTTTTTTTTTTTTTTTACTTTCAGTTCTATATGTGATCAAATGAAAAGTGAAAGGCTTTTTAAAAGACAGCCTCAATAACAGGTCTTGACTTGTTTGGTCCCACTCTGTATTCACATTTGTTTCTTCCCTTTTTTATGTGTAAATAACGTAAAGTCCTGTGCACTGATAGACATGCAAATATGTTTAATGCTAGACCAACAAGTGCTCATGAAAATCACAGATCAAAATGATCAGAGCCAAATAATGTGAGTTTTCTGTGGAAATGAAGGTTCAGCGTTTGTTTGCTTTGGTTTGTCAGTCACAGATTATGTTCCACGTGATGTTGTAAAATAATTATGTTTTGCGTCATTATAGGTAATATCTAGTGCATCACATGCCAGCCGAATCCACTCACGTCCCGCCCAAAGGCGTTCTTCAATTCTCCCGCATCTTTCTGAGAAGTACTTCATTTCCAGTTTCAGTTTTTCAACAGATAAAACCTGAAATTCGAGATGTGTGTGTGGTGAGGATCCTCTATAGACGGCCCTAATGGGTGGAGGCCAACAGCAGAAAACAGGAAGGTGCTGATAGGATGCTCCAAAGTTCACCGGCACACCTGAGGAGCGCTAGATCTTCCTCCAGATCAACTGCAGGTGGACAGCCGGGGAAGGACTCTGTCATTGCACAAATGAAAGCGATCGAAGAATGTCCCAGCGTACAACTTAATGTGATTTTTCTCATTTGTGGATATGAGGTTTCTAGGAAGTGTCTTGTGGAAATAATGAGAGGACTGTGTCTCTGACCGCTGGATCATTATTTGAAGCTTCTCAGTTGGAGATATTGTTACTCGTCTGGATATGTGGCCTCTGAGTGTTGCTATTTTTTTGCTCTACTTTGCAGGTGAGTAATAAGAATCCACTGTATTTCTTAAAAATATATTCTATTTTTAATTAAAAATAAATAAATAAAAAAGTACTTAAAACAATTAAGTTTTTTGTTAATTATTTTTTATTTATTGTATTTTTTATTATTCTTTTAATTTAAAAAATATTTATTTATTTATCTATCTATCTATTTATTTATTTATTTATTCATTTATTTCAAAATAACAATGAAATCTGCTGTTTCCTTGTGTGTTTTTTAAATTGAGAAAATGTACAGGCCATAAATATTTTTCTTACTGACCACGAAACTGTATTTTCCATTGTATTTCTTTAAAAAATATGTTATTTATATATTTTTAAAAATTAAAAGTATATAAATAATAAAGTTTTACTTTATTTATTTTTTATTATTATTATTATTATCATTATTATTATTAATTTTCAAAATTACAGTGAAATATGTTTGTCCTTGTTTGTTTGTGACAATCAGCCAAGGTTATTATAATTAACTAAAACATTTAAAGCATGAAACTAAAAAAATAATTTCAGTCAGTATAAATAAAATATTTAAAAAAAAATTGAAAACCGCTAGCTGCCAAGGCAACATTTCTAATTTTTACTTAGTTTAACTTGATGACTAAAATAATATTAAACTATATTAATGACTAAAATAATAAAAATTAAATAAAAAATAATAAAATACATAGACATATTTAAAAAAAAATAATTTACTAAACCTCAAAATTAAAATAAACAGAAAATATAAAAATAAAAATGAATTAAAATTCTTAATAAAAAACATCATCTCAATGACACTAAAGTGCTATTTAACTGAAAATTAATATGAGATGCCAGTGTGTGATTTGCTTGTGTCACGTCAGGCCGTACTAGATACGATCCGGTCTAAACTACTTCAGTTTACACCATGCATTATGTTTCCATTTATAATCAAATTACACTCCACCTGACAACCTATTGTCTTCACATTTTCTGTGAGTGTTCATCCGTAGAGGTCAATCTCTTTACATGAGCAAGACTTTCTGCAAAATCCTGCTGGTGTATCTAAAGCCGTTTCAAAACGTGCAGAGATTATTCATCCAGGCTCATGATCGATGGAGAACAATGTGGATCATCATCTCGCTGTCAGAAGCTCGTCAAACTCTGACCATCGACTGCTGCAACTAGAAAAGGAAAGTTGGTCAAGAAGAAAGTTTGAAAAAGCCCTGAGGTTTAAAGGTTATATATTTATTGATTCGTATCAAACAGCCTGAAGAACTTGAGCGGGTTTGTGGATGCCGCTTAGAAGCATGTTGTTTCCTCTCCTGGTAGAGTGTCGAACGATAATCTGAAGAGGCAAGCGCTTGAAACTCAGAGGAGCTTCTGTCTGTGTGTGTTATAGTGTGTTATCAAACACTAAGCTCCAGTCCTCGATTCTGATTGGTCAGCAGCTGTGTTTTATTCATGATAAAGCCCAATGGTTGTGTGTATCACTGTGCAACACCCTTAGCAACAACATAAACAATCAATATATAGCCTTAAAACTGTTCCATGCATTATGTATTTCAGCAAATTAACTGTTTGTTATTTTATTTAATGAAGTATGAGTGAACCCTGCTGGTGTTATGTTGCATCATTCACCTGTAGTTTTGAGGCCAAGCCTTTTCCCGGATGGGCGATACCTCTTATTTTATTTTCAATCCGATACCGGTATTTCATCGATACCGATACCGATACCTCTAACCTAAACCGATCTTTTAAATCATTAAAATAATAAAATCAGTAATTATACTCCCTTAACATTATATTTGAAAGCCATGTTTATGTTTTAACATTTCATAGGCCTTTGTTTTTGTTTACACCGTCAGAAATAAAATGTACTAAATTTGTATTTTAGCTCTTTATTGGTGCACCTTTTCTATTCATACAAGGGAGCATATTAATACCATACAAGTATGCACTCTTTAAGGGTAGATAAGATACAAAGGTGTACTTTTGAGGGTACCTCATGAAAAATAACCATGGTGTTACAGAAGTACTGAAATGTATTATTATTATTATTATTACCATGGTTTTACTATAAATATTATGGTTAAAATAATGTTCCTGTATTGGCAACCGTGGTAATTTTGTGGCTACTGCAGTTTTACTACAAATACTGTGGTAAACTGTGGTTAGTGTAGTAAAACCTTGGTTAATTTTTGTAAAAGGCTGCCAGGCTGTTGTAGCCCTAAAGGTGAAACTGTAGCACGTTTTTTCTGACAGATTGATAAACAGCAGTTACGGAACAGAACACAATCCATTTGAACTTTTAACAAGCAGTTTAAATACATTTACTTGCACAAACCAGCCTAATTAAAGTAAATATTACATGTACACTATACAGTTCAAAAGTTTGGGTCAGTAAGATCGTGTAATGTTTTTGAAAGAAGTCTCTAACCATGCTAACCAAGGCTGCGCTTATTTGAACAAAAATGCAGTAAAAACAGCAATATTATGAAATATAACAATTCAAAATAACTATTTTCGATTTTAATATATTTTAAAATGTAATTTGCATTAAAATGCATTTTCAGCATCATTACTCCAGTCTTCAGTGTCACATGATCTTCAGAAATCATTCTAATATGCTGATTTGCTGCTCAAGAAACATTTCTGATTATTATCAGTGTTGAAAACAGTCGTGCTGATTCATATTTGTGTGGAAACCGTAATACATTTTTCAGAATCTGATGAACAAAGTTCAAAATAACAGCATTTTATATCAATTTAATGCATCCTTGCTGAATAAAAGTACTAATTTCCTTTTTAAAATTGCATTGACGTCAACATTTTGAGCAGTTCAATTTGTTTCTTGTGAAGTAACTCTCGATTGTTTCTCTGTCATCTGACAAGCACTGATCTGGGCTTTGTTTCACAAATGCATCGTGAGCCTAAGCTGATCGCAGAAGCCAGTGCTGGCAATGATTTCTTAAGATCTAGTCTACTTAAGCTTCTGAAGCGAAGCTTCTGAGCGAAGCGTCAGCAGCGAATGCTATTTTTTTAGCGGAAGGATGGCATTTATTGAATTTACTTCAAAAAAGTAACATATCAATGCATACATTTTTGGTTTTAATATTTGTATTGTGTAACTGTTTCATAAAAGCAATACGGTACTCGAGGCGTGCTGTATTGTGAATTCGTTTTAGACAAAAGACATTTATTCCAGAACATCATTAACTGATTTATATATAGATGGTCTGGTAAAGAGCTTTTAGACTCGAAACGTCACCTGTGATGAGAACATAATTAAATATTTTTCTACTTTTGGAGCTGTGCCAATTTTCCTGTTTTATATATAGATGGTCACAACACAATGGAAGATGTTCACAGACCTGTAGAACCATCTCACTTTATTGTTCTGGTTTGCAGGTTGCTGGGCTCAGAGCTGTAATCGGACGAAGGCTTATTTTGAGTCCTGGAATTTCTTCAGCATTCTCCATTGGGACCCTGTTGATGTTCCTGGTCAAACGCTTCTCTACAGCGTCCAGTTCAACCTGTGAGTGACAGAGACCAGAGCAAAACATGGCTGGACCTTTGCTTTCGCCTTTCTTAGAAATGTGTCCAGTACAGATCTCTCTTATGCTACTGATTTTGCTGCTATATGCTAGGTATGATTGCGCAGAGAAGGAGATTTATAATTATATTATCATATTAATATATTGAGGGCATATTGTTACTATCACACACACACACACACACACACACACATGTCTGGTCAGCTATCCTTGTGGAGACTCTCCATAGGCATAATGGTTTTTCTACTGTACAAACTGTATTTTCTATTGCCCTACACCTAAACCTACCCCTCACAG